GCCAACGCGCCCCTTATAGGAAATGACAATCTATTAAATGACTGAATGTCAATTAATAACAAACAAACAAACAAAAGAAGCGTTGTGGGATTCTATGAAATAATGTCCCCATATTTATTTGTTATGTCCGTTACCTAAAGAAGGGTGATTATATACATGTTAGGATCGATTCATTTTATTGCACTCAGGGCTAAACCAAAACCTAAATAACAATAATATCAATTACGACTCTGTTTATTTACTTTCAACACTTCTTGTATGATAAATGACTTAATACGAATTACTCAATCATAACGATAACCAATCAAATTGAACTTCAAAAAAAAAAAGAAACTGGTTAATGTGCTTTTTGTACTTTATAATCGTAAGATTTCACTTTACAATTGAAAACTATAGATCGATCAGGAATCAAAATGGCATCCTATGAAGCTGTTTGTATTAATGTGTACTAAGTAATCGATACTGTCCTCCAAGTATTCCCCATTCTATATTAAAAAAAAAAAAAAAGACATCACAATAAATAAATCTGAAACAAGAATCAGATAGGCTAGCAGACGCCTCAGGCTGATTCAGACATGCGCAACGGAGGGAAATGGAAAATCTCGCGAGAACTGTGGGATTTCGCGCTATTTGATTACTTGTTGTCCAAGTTAATAGAAGAACAGTCTTGTGATCTTGGAGGGAATGTCCTCAAGGGAAATAAACCAAGGGAGTTTAGATCGACAAAAAGGGGTAGAGAAGAAACACAAATAATCTTAAAACGGTCACAAAGCCTACTGCTCTTGTTTATTGGAATATCGGTAACACAACATACCAATATTGATACAGCTGTTTCCTCCTTTCCTAGTGTAGGTCAAGTATAGAGTAGTTCTACTATATTTTTCCAGATAAAAATCAAACGCCTGACTATATCAATGACTCACACTTAGTTAAGTTCCTAGTCTAATTACTTATCGAGCTGAAATTTCGCTACTTGAGAGCGCATACTATTAAAATCATAGAAAGATCATTTTATTAATTATAAAATTATTTTTCTTTATTTTACTTTTAAAGTCAAAAGGGAAGGGGGGCTATGACAAACTAAGAAAAATCTGTATTTATAATTCTCTACGTCGACAACCATGCGGGACACCAAGCACGCACGCAAACTATCTAACCCTCCTCCCGCCCCTCCCGCCCGCACCAGCGCCTTCCTCGCTCTCCAGGCATGCGCACCCACCCCATTTGGACAACTGTCTTTCGGGAAGTGTTCACCCGTCACTAATTAGCGGCGAATGCTACGCGCCGGGTCGCAGCTAGTTATATTATATTTTCTTATTACTGAGTATCAGTAACAAAAAATAATTCTTAGGGCCATCCCATGCAAATGCCCACAAATTATGAAATATGAATATTTTGTTTACTTTAATTTGAACATACAGTAAGATTTCATTATTTTTAAATATATTACTTGTTTTAGCATTAGACTAAGATAAGCTAATGTATTTTTTGTGAGTTGAATTCTACTGTAAGCATATCCTAATGGACCTAGTAGATTACAATATCTGATTCTTCTCTCTTTCTGTTTTTTTTCTCGTCCGCGGATCACAGTTTAGGAACCACTGTACTAGACACATAAAATTCAAGTTAATCCGAGAATGGAAAGTGGGAGGAAAAAAAAAGTGTCAAAGAATCCTGGCAGACCGACAGACCGACAGACAGAAGGAATGAGTTGAAATAAGCGTTGTAAAAAAAAATGAATAGACTTTTGTTGTTATTTTTAAACTAAATTTTTCATTACATTTTTTTTTTAGATCTTTGCTTAAAATTATCTGTAATATGCAGCTATAAACATCTTTATATGAAGTAAGACTTCATTCTAGTTTAAATATAGATTTGCTTGTGAAAAATAAATGAGATTTCTAAGAAAAATAAAATAAATCGGTGAGCTGTAGATGACCTCTGCAGATTCTAGGACAACAAGACAGGCATGCGAGAAAAGTGATGGATCTAAATTCAAACCTCGTCACAGATGACCTTAAAGAATACAAGATAACTTTCTCTCACCCACAGGGTCTTGAGTTGCATGGTCATTGCCTTAGAAAATTCAATCTTTGAGTCTTTCGTAAGATTTCAGTGTCTGCCAGGCAATGAGGGATTGGGGACACACGTATGTATACATACATTTAAACAGATTTTAATGAACTAGTCGACCGGTGGCGTAGCATACGGCAGTGTGCCAGGCACTTTCATAGGACCAGCGCTAATTCTAGGTGTATAAATTATTAAATCAAACCATTTTATAACTTATAACAGATTTCCTGCGGCATCCTGATTTACCAGGAGCTCCTGGAAATTTCCTGAAATGGCATAATATACGAAAAAGTCCTGGAAATTTACGAAAATTATTAAAACCTTTTGAAAACTCATACAAATATCCTGAAACATAGAGACAAAGTGTCATTTTGGGGTGTCATTCAATATGGAAAACGCCAATCCTACGCGCGAAAAAAAAGGCATTATGCAATACCCGTAACGCAATCCTACGCGCGATAAAAAAAAAACGGCATTATGCAATACCCATAATTGTAGAATCTAGTAAAAGAAGCTTCTCGCGCCTCAAACTAATTAAGAATTACTTGAGGTCAACAATTCTCGTAGATAGATTGAAACATTTGGTAATTCTTTGGTAATTCTTGCTATTGAGCATGATCTATGTAGGGAAACAGAATTCTTATGATATATTGTATGACTTCGCTACACGCAAGGCTCGTGTAGTAATTCTGTGCATAGCAAAGAATGAATAAAATGTAAAGACGAATATATTTTCAAATACAAACTCTTAATTTTCACTTATTATCCGTATTCCTACCCAAACTGACCCCGCGAAATCTGATTCGGATTGGGCCCCACAATGCTCTTTAGTGACGGGTGAATACAGGCTAGATTATTTGTTCTCTTTCCATGACTTCTTGGTCACAATGGTTAAATCCGGCCCTGCTATTTAGTGACGGGTGAATATTACAAGTTCCCCCTCCCCTCTTTTTTGTCGCCTCTAAAATTACGTGGGGTAACTCTAGTCCGTAGAAACGTGGCCAAAGGCCGAGCACACCGGGGAGCCCCTACGTCGTCCTTCATTGTACTATATTAACCATGAGGCCTTCACCATTAGCGAAACGGCCCCTTCAGAAACAGCGGTTGATTATTGACAAGGCTCTTGTACCTCCTTAGGCACCCCTAAGGGAGTCTTGTTTCGCTACCCATTTGGCCTAATATTAAAATTACAATAGGAGCCTACCTTGATTAAGATAGTATCCATAGACTGCAGAAAGTGATTATTGCTTATAGTATCACTAAATGTCTGGAAGTCAATGTATATCTTTCTTGTTAGAAAAACTATCAGGAGCATGTATTTTAAATTAAAAAAAAACAATTTAGCTTTGTAAAAAATTTATTGAACTGAAATATTTCATTTTGTCAAACTGTTTAGAGAAGAATATATCAATTTAATTATACATTTGTTTAAAACGGACAAACAAACATCCACTCTAAAGTCACACAGTTAACTCCCCGGTAAAACGAGATTTCTATAGATGGATAATAAAATAAACTCTATTACCCAAACAGTTTTCTTTCTCTTTTCTTTCTTTTAGGTCTCATCCCAATGTTGCCAGGAAAGAGATTCCCTATTTATTCCCTGGGGTAATAGAAACTGTCCGTCTGTCTGCCCAAATGGCGGAATCTAAAATTCATATCTTGAAGGAGCGTGATTGCTGAATTGAATTCACCCGTTTCCCAAATTCTGAATTTCAGCTACATTAGGTCGCTAGCTTTTGTAATATTTTTTTTCTCATGTTCGGTGCTACAAGAAAAAGGCGATATTAGATTTTGTTTTTTTGCCAAAGTATTTTAAATAGTTGTCAATTCTTTTTTCAGATTTGTAAGTTTACAGGAAGAAAAGAACGAGCTCTAGAAAAAAATGTAAAGTTACCCTTTTCAGACCTTGCTATCTATAAGGCCATTCATGGTAAAGCTAGTATCTTTGGCCGACGGTTAATGAGGCTATCATGTTGCCAGCACAATGACCAACCGATTTATTGCCTCAATGCAAGTCAAGGTAGCCCTTGGAGTTGGGTAGAAAAAAAATTTGGAAGGTTTTCTTGCTACCTTTAGGTGCAGACACAACTCTGCTCGAGCCTGGCTACCTTGAAAGTCAAGTGGTGTAGAGAACACTCAGCCACACACCGCTTGGAGGCATACAGTTTGAGAAAATGTTAAGTGTCAAATGTACTATTCTAAGTCAAATGGCGCTGCGCTCAAGGCTGGAGTTACAAATAGCGGGCCCAATGTAAAGGATGCCCCTCTGCTAATTTTTTTCAGGACAATAACAAACTATTACTGTTAAATAGATCATTATATTAACATTATTTAGACAACATGCACAGGATGCACTCAGATTCTATAGGTGCCAATGGGTTAATTAAAGTTACGTCGATCGTAAGATACACTAACTAAAAATGTTAACCCTTGAAGTCCTAAATCTTTAAAAGCCTGTGACATAAGCCATGGCTGATAGTGATAAAGTAAAGCACCCTTTTCAGACCTACTGACCTATGGAACAGATGATGTAAAAGTCATCGGTCTCTGTGGCCCATGGTTAACGAGGGTGTCATGTGGCCAGCACAACGACCAACCACCTTTACTTTTCCCCAACAAATGTCAGGTACCCATTAGAGCTGGGTGGACTCAGAGGCGCCCTGAAGAACCCAAAATCGCACAAGTTGAACGCGCGTTGCAGCTACACGAGCCAACACATAATGCCAGTCTTATAAAAACTTATATTTTATACATGCCTACATGGAGACAGAGTTCAAACCCTATCCGCTTTCATCCTCGTTGTCCTGCGGGAGGTTTGTGCTAGAATGTTTTTATTCTCAGAATCTGAGGCCGTGAAGGGACATTTGAACAAAAGTAAAACATGAATACATTAAATATAAAACAAAAACATTCAACAAAAACTTCAAGTCATGCAACAAGTTTCATTTCTTTGGACAAAAATATCACATCATTTATTTATTTCAGATAGAAGAGTTATTCAATAAAAGCAAAGAGATACAAAATAATATAAGGATAAAACAAAAATAATTGAAATCATCCATTTCACAAACACCAACAATCAGGACCTCCGAAATTCAGTCAATGATCTTTTGTCCCTAAAGTCACCAAGCTCTCTTTATATCCATTCTCTAGCAGGCCAGAAAACATAAACATGTACATCATTTGAATAGGGAGAATAAGTAATAAGTTAACGTCAAACAGATGTTAGCAATGACGTGGTGGTCCTAGGTTAGGTCATGACAAATACTTAAACAGTAACCGAAAAAGTTTCCCCCATTGTTTCTTCTGACTTGCGTTACAAACTAATAAAAAACAAAATCGTCAGGGTTGGTGAATAAAATGAAAAAATCTGACTCAGGCGAAAAAAACTAAACAAATTGTCACATACGATTTTGTAAGTGACGCGTTACAAAGTTGTTTTTAATGTAAAACAATCAAAACCTACTTTTTGAGCTTATTGTAACCCCAGTTCCTCCAAGGGAATCAAACGTACATGTCTTCAACAATCTAAGCGAAATGTTGATTGCTCACAATGTGACTATTTCTTACAGATGTTGGATAACGTAACAACTCATTTTGACGAAGTTTTAAAGATGACGAGTGTATATATATATAAAGATGACATTTCTTTAATTAAAAAAAAAAACAACCAAAAAAAAAACAAAAAACTCAGCTATTGAGACTATCGGAATGCTGTCTACTGTAAGCTTTCTTTTCAAACAAGTCCGGTCTATAGAAATATATAAAATAGCACGTATGACTGATTAGTCACTTCTCAAGTGTGTTGTCAATGTTCACATATCGAAATAAAATACTAACAAAAAGAATTACAATTTCATTCAAATTGTTATATGAAATATGCTTTAGTCGACGCAATAGATTGTATATATGTACACTTTTAAACAACAGACTATGATAAAAATAATCACTCTATCTTCCTGTGGAGTGATTATTTCCGAGCTATAGTTTTTCACAAATTAATATTAATCTTGCAAACAATAAACGAAAAAAAGGTCACGTTATGTACGCATACGATTCGCTAGATAATTTAAAAATCAAGAGTTGCGTTTTAAGCGTCATTTTTATTCTTACTCATCCAATGTGGTGAAAACAAATCTTTGAATTTAAAATTAACTATGTCATTAATTATATAATTATTATTTTAAAAAAATAACATCACCTACTACGACCAAGAAATGCAAAAAAAAAAAAAAAAATTGCGTAAAAAAAATATATGACCAAAAACTATAGAATGGTGGAAGTAAAAACCTTCAATGATTGCTTGAAATATTACCGGAGCTTATAACTTATTGACAAAATTTCGTAGACATTTTTTGCACTCCAATACAAGATGCTCAATACACATGTATTCTATAGACAAACGTCAACTGGGCAGGATTTGGAATTTTGTATGTTCAAGAGAATGCTGAAGCTACTGCATATGGACATGAATTCATTGGTATATAGTCAAACACATTATGAGGTGAATATTTATTAAATGATGGTATGCGTTATACAAGAAACTCTATTCATAAGTAAAGTTAAAAAATGATTTAAAAAAAAAATGGGAATACGAAACTTTCACAGACGCAGGAGTTTCGCTGAAAAATGAGATGCAAATTCTAAAACATTTCCGAATTGATGGTGGCTTTAAATCGCAGCACAACTAAGAGACGTCAAACTATGGAGAGTAAGACAGCCTTGTCTTCAAGTCATTCGTTATGTATTAGTGTCATGTCCAAAAAAGTAATTGAACAAAATGTTTTTTTTTACTAACCAGAGGAAGAGCTTAGTACTCTCTACTGCTTCTTCGGATGACACACAGTCAGGAAGGATTATAACAATGTAAAGAGTGGTATTAATGCAACATTATATTGGTTGTAGGAATGTGCATAAAAAAGGGCAAAGAAAATGTTTTAACAATCTCTGTTGCATTGATTCAAGAGCTAAAAAGGGGCAAGTTTTTATCAATTTTTAGATTTAAGTATTTAGAGACCTAAGCGCGTCAGTGGTCAACGCGTCATTGGTCAAGTCAGTCTCATAGTCAAGGAGTAACGTTCTAAAGGATATAATGTAATCAGTGGTCACTAAACAAGAAGTCGTAGTCCATATAAAAAATTTTTTATCAAAGATACATTTACCACATGACATTCTTAAAGTGTTCAAGGATGGACTTACATATGTCTTTTGTAAGTTTCCTTTAAGTCAGCGGTTCTCAACCTTTTAAGATCGGCGACCCTTTTTGCCCCCGACACACACACATAGAAGAGTAGACAATAACAATCCATATTTTCGATGGTCTTAAGCGACCCCTGGCAAATGGTCAATAGACCCCCAAGAAGGTCGCGACCAACAGGTTGAGAACCCCTTCTTTAAGTCAAGAGAACGGCAAAGAAAGAAGTATTTTTGCATACATTTAAGTCGTTTCGAACTGCAACGACTGCCCAATGGTGCTTTCTGCTGTCTTCTTAGACGACCTGAGACGGCCGGATATGTCACTGAGATCTTAAGTAATAATCTGCGAAGATACGAGTGTGCGCGCCCGTTTCTTTTTGAGTGTATGTATGTGTGTGCGTGCGTGCGTATCTTATCGTAGAGAAAATATTAAGCCAGCAAAATCACATTGACATGTTATCAAAAAACGAGTTTAGGAATCCAGGGATTGCCCCAACTCCACCTCCACCATGGCAGACAATTGAACTCACCATGACATGTTTACGAAGATAAATAAGATTATGTATAGATATGGAGATTGTCCACACGAAATAGTCAATATTGAACTGGACAGAGCGATCGGTCAGCAGAAACAGCTAGACCACACAAACATAATAAAAACATTTTGGTCACACAGCGACAATAAAGAAATAGCTGAAAAAGTACATTAAATATTCAGCCAATCACAAAGATTAAAAGTTTTAAATACATCCAATCGCAAATCGTTATTGATTAATGATCAGCCAATAACTAACAGGATTAGATAGCTGTAAAGAAAAATAAACATGAAGTATATATAGTTTTCCAGGTAACCAATCACAAAAGATACAGCTTTACAGCCGACCAATCACACTTGTTTTAGATCTTTCAACTATAACAACGCCTCAACATCCATATGTATTGTTCGCCTAGATAAATTAATACACGATAAAAATATTCGTCGCCGATAATAAATTGTATACAAATCATTTAACATAAGTGAAGTGTTAATAATGCGCAGAACAATCTGAATGGATTATAAATATTATGCATAATCTCGTAAACTAAAAGTTTAATGACATTTGAAAATACAATTTGATTTAGATTTTTGCCTGCCTGTGGTGGAAAATTGATGCACTTTATAACCTCAATCTGCCCTTTTGGGCTATGCATAACTTTTAATAGTTATGGGTACGCTATCCTCTCTCAAATCGGCACCTACTTACGATGTACAAATATATTTATGTGTATAATCTAAAAAAATAATTGATAACGTCCTCCTAAGTTGTGCCACTATCGAAAAAATAAACAAGCAAAATATAAAAAATACTTTATCTTTCATGATAAAATTTATTTCCCTTTTTCAAAAAAAAAAACAAATTAAATATTAGGACGTCAAGCTGGTAGGTATCAACAAACTCTTTTAAAGATTGGGCTCTTACCTTCCATGAACCGATTAGGTTCGGTTGCTTTGAATCGAAGGGCCGCCATGTACCGAACATTATTTAACTAATTGGTTGATTTTTTTTATTGATTCATTATGTGTTAGGGGGATAATAAATACTTGTGCAAAGTGTCAACTTGATTCCAGGATGGGAAGTAAGAGATAAAAAAACGTGTACCAAATTTGTACCGGTCGGGACCACGTGCGATCTATAAATAACTTGCCCCCTGTGGTAGAACAACGGTTGGAACTTGATCTAAAGTAGGTGGCAGCATGACAGCATATTGTAGCAGTGCTTATGCTTACCTCTACCGCATCACATAGAGATGCTTGTCAAGTAAAACAAACACATCATTCAGTTTACATAGCACTGCATTTCATTCAAGTATTTACAATTTATGTAATATTTACGACAATAAAATAAATATTCTTGAGTATGTGTATTAGTGAAATACAGATCATGCACTGCATTGAAATATTAGACCAATGACCTACATATCTTATTCAATGACATAAAATCTTAGACCAATGAACTGTGGATCTTAAACCAACGACCCACAAATCGTAGATCATTGACATATAAATCTTAGTTCAATTACCTCCAGATGATAGTCCAATGACCTACAGATCTTAGTCCAATGACTTCTGGTCTTAGTTTAAAGACCTCCAGAACTTAGTCCAATGTCAAAAAAAAAAATTGACACACAATTTGTCATCAAAGTTTTAAAAAAATGTACTTGATAAAAAAAAAAAATCTTTTAAAGGATTAGGAATACCGCGCGGTAGATAGATAACTTTGATGATAGTAATTAAACAGATAAATAATCACAAAAGTCACTATTATTTCATTGACTTAGTTCTTTCATTAAGTCAAATCACACTCGTCTTTACCAATCAGTAAAATACACTCCAACTCAAAATGTTATAGCCAGGATGCTTGTGTTTTCGTACCTGGGTTCTCCAGACTAACATCTAATTACGCCTTTAGTTAAAACTTCAATTTATAAGATACATGTTAACGAATAACTCAGCTTCAAACGAATATAAACTCAGAAACGTTCGTTGCTAAATTTAAATATTTACATTTCAAGGGACGCCACTTAAGCGAAGATATAAAAACTATCTTTAGACGCTGTTAATATGAATTCATGTTTTAGACTAATATAACATGAAACAAAATTATATATAAAGTCAAGAAAGTATTTTGTATTTGGATGAGAAAGAATGTATTGAACTAGGAAATATCGAAATCGAGAATAAACGGAATAACGATTATTTCGAATTTACGATTCTTTAAAATTTTTTTTTGCTGTCAAGTTTTACCCAGAGCTGAACATAAGAACGTGACAGAGCTTGTAATGTTTCAAGTTTAACAAACACTGGTCACGTGACATGACATCTAAGTAACGTCATCTACGCTAGCTACCACTCGTGTCGTTTTGTCTTCAAGAATTTATCGTTAGTTCAAAAGGATACTTCTATTAGTAGATCAAACTCTAGCATTTTTAATGCCTTTATTTTAATGATTAAATTTATTGGTCACATTCAAATATTAGTCCTATGACCTACAGATCCTAGACAAATGGCCAACAGATCCTAGTCTTATGACCTACAGATCCTAGTCCAATGACCTACAGAAAAAAAAAAACGCTCCAGTAAAGTATACTCGATTCTTACCGGCTACATCATGCAGCGTGAGAAGAAGTTACAAAAGCAGCGAAGCATCTAGTTACGGGCCGGATATGCCCCGCGGGTCGTAGGTTAGGCACCACTGAGTTAACTCAATAAATTTTGTTTCTTGAAAATAACATAGCAATAAGGACGCGTAAAAAAACAAAAACTAAATCATTGTAAACTCATAAGCACAAGTCAAAAAACATAGAAATGGTTGAAAATGTTATTATGTAATCGTTTTCCATCTGCTTTTATCTGTTACTAATAGTAAGGGTGATAATTCTCACGGGTCAATAAATAATAGCGTTCAATTCCAGCAATTCACAGCCAAAATTAAAAAAGATAAATAAATTATATGCTTAAATGTACATACCAATAGACTAAGACAGACAAGCTTTACCATTTCGTTTTCCAAAAAAAAAAAAAAAAAAAATTAAATTGTCCATGACAGTACAAACTTGTTAATAAGATTACAATATTCGGCATAGACATAATGAACTATAATTGGTAGTGTAGACCAATATTGCAATCTCAGATCTAAACTATGCTTTTAGAATTTTAGACGATTGCTATTAATGCTCCGCCATGATTTAAGGTACATTACATTAAAATATAACCATTCAACTAAGTGCTATGA